TGAGCGTTCTGAGAGCAGAGGCCCACACAGGCCTGGCCCCCAGGGCGCCTCACGAAAACTTTAAAGCAAGTTTTAAAGGTTTAAAGTTTAACCCTGGTGGTGCAGTGGTTAAGAATCCGCCTGCCAATGCAGGGGACACGGGTTCGAGCCCTGGTCCAGGAAGATCCCTCATGCCGCAGAGCAACTAAGCCCATGCACCACAACTACTGAGCCTGCGCTCTAGAGCCCGCGAGCTACAACTACTGAGCCCGGAAGCCACAACTACTTAAGCCCGCGCGCCTAGAGCCTGTGCTCCACAACAAGAGAAGCCACCGCAATGAGAAGCCCACCGCAACTAGAGAGAAAGCCCACGCGCAGCAACGAAGACCGAATGCAGCCGACAAGTTAATTAATTAATTAATTAATTTTTAAAAAAAGAAACGATGGAACAAGTGAGTCTCCCTGAAACTCTGCTCTGACTGTACCATTCCTGTGCCAAAAAGCTTCCCTTGGCTTCCCGCTGCCTAGGAATTCCAATCAAGAGCCACAGCTTTCCAAGAAAAACAGGGGTGATGACAGCACTGTCCTCTTAGAGCTGGTCTGAACACTCAAGAGACAACCCAGCTTTGCCCAGAATTAGAAGTGAGGAGAGATTTTAATAATTTTTATGGGTACTTTTTTATATTTTCATGGTTACTTTCTATTTACCAAATGATACCAGTTTTCCATCCACAGTAGCACTATCTTTCCTTCTTGGGTAAACTGAAGGAAAAAGTATGTGGATTTAAATATGTGAAATAGGGCTTCCCTGCTGGCGCAGTGGTTAAGAGTCCGCCTGCCGATGCAGGGGACACGGGTTCGTGCCTCAGTCTGGGAGGATCAGACATGCCGCGGAGCGGCTGGGCCCGTGAGCCATGGCCGCTGAGCCTGCGCGTCCGGAGCCTGTGCCCCGCAGCGGGAGAGGCCACAGCAGTGAGAGGCCCGCGGACCGCAAAAAAAAAAAAAAAAAAAAGTGAAATAATAAGTGTTTTACAGGTGTGGCAAAACTCTGTAACTGATCAGGTTATCAATAAAGTTTGGGAAGCCTTGAGATAAATCCTATCACAATTAGCCAGCACTCAGCACAGAGCAAGGACTTAAGAAGTGTCAGCTTTAGGGACGTGCCTGGCGGTCCAGTGGTTAGGACTCTGCGCTTCCACTGCAGGGGGCCTGGGTCTGATCCCTGGCCGGGGAATTAAGATCCCGCATGCTGCGCAGCGCAGCCAAAAAAGAAAGAAGAAAACTTCGAAAGAAGTTATCAGCTGTGGAATGCAGTGCACTCCTAGGAGAGAAGGGGACTGCGCTGGGGCGGAAGAGAAGAGGGCTCTGGCGAAGGGTGAGAGGAAGAGCCAACTTCCAAAGTCACCAGCAGCAAAAGGGCCAAGGGGCCTGGCCGGAGCAGAGCCGGGGTGGGTGCGGGCGAGGGCGCCGGGGGCGGAGAAGGTACCTTCCGAAGCTTTGGCCTGCTTGCTGATGTACTCCTCAATCTTCATCATGATCTCAGCAAACTGTCCGGGGAGGAGCGGAGAGTCAGAAGCCGGGACTCTCCAGGCAAAGGAGCTGCTGCCCGTGTCACCCCCCAGGAGCTCCTCTCACCATCTTGCTGTCCCACAGCTTGGCGATGCTCTTGACCGAATCTCCGGAAAGATCCAGCTGGGTCTCCTCCTGCACATCCTCGATCGCAGGCTCCTCCTCTTCCTCCCCGTAGCTTCCTCCTTCCTCCTCTTCTGCCGCCTCCTCGAGGTCAGCTAGCAGCTCGTCGGCCAGAGACATCCTGAGGCCTGCGGGCAGGGCGAGCGGGATTCCCACTCATTACTGGGACAGGCCTCCCCTGCCAGGTGGCCCTGGTCCTTCTTGATCAACCTCACCAGCTTGCAGGCTCCACAAGGACAGGTACACTCTTTTGCTTTTTTCTCTAGCTCCTAACTGTGCCTGGCACATAACAGATGCTCAGGAAACACCTGCTGATTGAACCCACTTCCCAGAACCAGAAGGTCTCCAGTCGTAACTCACACCACCCACCCTTCTCACCTTCACTTCACTGGACAAGACACTGCACACCCCTCACACCACCACTTCGCTAAGACTTAAAAGATACATCCCCTCCCTTGACAAGACCTCTCCTCACATCCTTCCCTTCACCCCCCCCCCAGCAGAGGCCCCTCCCCACCAACTGTTGGGCCCCAAATGGGTGACAGACATCCTGATCTCCTCAGCCATCAGGACAACCAGGCAGGACCTAAAATGTCTAGAGCCTCCAGGCCAATCACCTCAGGCTATGAGCAGCTCCTACCCCCAGGTGCTGTACAAATATTAGTATCTTCGGTGAATCCCACACAGTGGAAAAGGCTGCAAAGGCTACGAAGCACTAATCTACAAGGTACAATCCCCACCACTCCGTCCTCCCCAGCGCTTTTTATTTTTTCATTAAAATAAGAAACGCTCCCTCTTCCCTTTCTCCTCTTTCAATAAGACAAATGTAGGGGGAAGTGGGGGAGGAATAAATGAGAGACTGGGATGGACATATACATACTACTATGTATAAAATAGATAACTAATAAGAACCTGCTGTATAGCAAAGGGACCTCTACCCAATACTCTGTAAGGACCTATATGGAAAAACAATCTTAAAAAGAGCGAATATACGTATATGTATAACTGATTCACTTTGCCATACAGCAGAAAGTAACACAGCACTGAAGACCAACTATACTCCAATAAAAATTAAAAAAAAAAAAGACAAATGCAACATGTACACACTACTATATAAAAAACAGATAACCAACAAGTACCTACTGTACAGCACAGGGAACTATACTCAGTATTTTGTAATAACCTGTAAGAGAAAAGAATCTGAAAAAGAATAGCTAGATATATATGTATAACTGAATCACTTTGCTGTGCACCTGAAACTAACACAACATTGTAAATCAACTACACTTCAATAAAAAAAATGAAATTAAAAAAGAACTTTAAAAACAGGGGAATTCCCTAACGGTCCAGTGGTTAGGACTTGGTGCTTTCGCTACCGTGGCCCCGGGTTCAATCCCTGGTTGGGGAATTAAGATCCTGCAAGCTGAGTTGTGCAGCCAAAAGAATAAAGAAATAAAATAAAATTTACAGAAAGACAAACGGAGGCTGCAAACCTCCATGTCCGCAGAGGCTAAGTGGGTGACATAAGTGAGTGAAGCAGGCTGGGGGTTGGGCAACTGGGGAAGTGGAGCCTGGAGAGCTAGGGAATCATGTCTGATGTGAAAGCTCAGCTGACACGACGCCTCAGACACGCCCTGCCAGTGGGAACACGGGCTCCCATGTTGCCAGGTTTTCTAATTTTTTTCAAGAAAAGTAAGAGAGTCAGAATTTTTATGTGTAACTTCCCAGTTTGAAAAGTTTCTTTTTAAGTGGCTAATTTAAACAGACCACCATGGCACAGGCCAAACTAAAACGACTACAGGAAAGATTTGGCCCTTGAGCTGCCCGTTTAGGACCCCTGGATGTTCGGCTGTCTCTGAGCTCAGTCTCCCCTCATACCCTCCTTTCTCCCTAAGATGCAATGTCCCCTTTATACTCACTTCTCTTTATAAGACACAGCTTTTCCTTGTACACGCACCCATGTTATCTCACACACACCTTTCTCTAAAACTCTCGTTACTCTCGCTTTCTCTGAATAAGAGGAACTCGTCCTTTATTGGACATGATCTGCTCTCCATACATAGGACTCAAGTATCTCTTCTTATCCTCTCTTCTCTGTTTCCCCACTAAACTGTAAGCAAAACCAGGGGTGGTTATCTGTCTGTTCACCGTCATATCTCCACCATCTAGCAGAACCTCTAGCACATTGTAGGTATTCAAGAAATATTGGGCAAATGAATGAATGAACTTTATTTAATCCTTATACCAACCACATTATGGTTTCCTTTCTCCGGCTCTCTGGATATATTATTTTTTCATCCCAAAGGTAAGGGCACAAACATTATTTCTTGCAGCGTGGGTTATCTCTGGCCCTGAGACTAGATGCTATCCTGCTGTTATACATCCTATGAACCCTTTAGTTCACTTTAACACTTGAGATTCTCTAAATTTCTAACATTTTGTTTAATGTCCATCTTCCCCATTAAGCTTAAATTCGTAAGGAAAGAGGGACCGTGTCCATTTTGTTCATTGCACACTATTTCCATCGCCCAGCGCAGCACGTGGCACGGATTAGGTACCACGACTTCGCTTGATGCCAGCCAACCTCTCCAGCCTCAGCCCCGGCCACTATCCCCCATGCCCCTGAATCCTTCTCACACTTTTTTCGCTTACCAAATTCTTCCCCTCACTTTAGGTCTTCATTCCCTCCCTTTTTACCAGCTCAACACCTTTTCATCCTTCAGTTCTCATATTCCAGCTCCCTGACCCACGCACCCCACTCTAGAGTAGATAAGTTGCATGGTGACACACACCTCGCACGCCCTGTGTGTACCCTAAAGCACTTCACACATTTGTGGTTATTTAAGTAATTACTTGATTAAGCCTGTCTCCCCAGGCACCATGCAAAGCGCTAATAGGGCCGGGAACGATTTTTTGCTGCCGCTATATCCCCAGAGCCTTAACAATGTAGGAGCATTTGAGACCTTTGGGTAGTCGGTCTACGAAGGCCCGCCTTTCTCCTTACACACTTCCTCCCCCAGACCCAGGAAGCCAACCTCCCGCCCTTCCCTCGTCTCCACCACACTCACCTCTTCTCTTCTCGCACGACGGTTTCTTGGAAATTAGCTTCCCAGCAGCGGTCGACGCTCACTGATGACGTTTCAACCTTGCGCCGTCGTCGAAGCAAAGCTGCGCTCTGATTGGCCCCTGCACCGCGTCTTTCCTGGCTGCGTTTGGAACAACAACTTTATTAGCACCTGCCGCTAGGCGGAGAAGGGAGGATCCGGAGAGAAGAGGGGCTTGATCCGGAGAGAAGAGGGGCTTGATCCGGCTCACGCCTGCTGTGGACTGAGCCTGATAAGCGGAGAATCGCCATAGTCTGACGACAGGGTGTCAAGACAAGAATAAAGTCGAGGGCAACTCAGACCACTGGTGGAGGCGTTCGACGAGAAAGCAAGGCTTTCAGCCGGGAGTCGAGGTGGAGGTGGAGGGGTTGGGGAGCGGAGCCGGAAAATAGGAAACTACAGCTCCCAGAAGGCGTAGCGGCAAGGTCCCGGATGCTGGGGTCGTGAAGCCTGATGGGGAAGGTAGTTTTGCGAGCGACTTAACCTAGAGGTTAGCGAGGTTGGAAGTTCTGAGGCCCGGGGCGCCCGGAGTCGGAGAGAGATGGAACTGGAGCAGAGAGAAGGGTGAGTGGATTTGGGGAAAACTACGAATCCCAAAAGACATTGCGGCTGCATAAGAGCGGTCTTCTGCGCTGAGGACTGACGGGGATTGCAGTTCCTGCAACTCCTTTGGCTTATAACTCTTGTAGGGACTGGGGTCCGTACTCGAGCATCCTGGGGGAAAAGGCTACGGGTCTAGACTCCTGGATCCGACAGGCGAGGCGGTTGGAGGTCTGGACTCCTGGGTCTGAGTGAGGGCTTGGGGGGCTTGAACTCCCCGTGGAACTCGGGGAAGAAGGGTCTGGAAGTCTGGACTCCTCGATACCGGGAAGCGGGTGCTGGGGCCATGGACTCCTGGATCCTGGGAGGAAGGAGTCGGGGCTCGAACTCTTCTGGATCCTGGGAATGGTGGGCTGGGGGCCTCGGACTCCTGCATCAGAGAGAGGAGGGGTCTGGGAGTTGGGCTTCTGGTCTGTGGGAGGAGGGGCTAAGGGCTAGGTATTCAGGGTCCCTGAACCCACTGACTCTACAGGACCATGGCAGCTGTGGGCTTTGAAGAGTTCTCGGCGCCGCCAGGCTCAGAGTTGGCGCTGCCTCCTTTGTTCGGTGGTCACATCCTGGAGAGCGAGCTTGAGACAGAAGTGGAGTTTGTGTCTGGGGGTCTGGGTGGCTCCGGGCTCCGGGAGCGAGATGAAGAGGAAGAGGCAGCCCGGGGCCGGCGGCGGCGCCAGCGGGAACTAAACCGCAGGAAGTACCAGGCACTAGGTCGACGCTGCCGGGAGATCGAGCAGGTAGGTGAGTGTGGATTCCCCTGTTTTGGGGTCCCCTGGCCTCCATTACCAATCCTTCCCAGTCTCTGCCTGTCTAGATGCCCAGCCTTCCTTGCCCGGCTGAATGAATTTTCCATTCACTTATTCATTATTAATTTATTTAGCACCTATTATGTGTCCGGCACTGTGCAAGGCACCGTGGAGAGATGTCTCCTCTAGGAGCATCATCTGACAACCCAGATCAGCTCACTGCTGTTTCACAGGTGCCTCTCTTGCTGCCCACCGATCAAACTTTTCAAATCTCCCATACCCTTGACGTCATTCGCTCCTCATGTCCTGTGTGTCCTGCCTCTCAGATCTCTCTGGGGTACTTCTCCGCCCCTCCATCCCCACGCCTCTGCCCAGCCTCAGGTTCTTTCTGCTGAATCACTGCATTAGCCTCCTTGGTGAGAATGAGGATGGAGCAGTAAGCAGGGCTCAGACCTTGAAAGGCCACAAACACCAGAGCAAGAGGTTTGGATTTTTTTTTTTTTTTTTTTTTGAGAGTGATGGGGAGCTATCAAAAGGTTTCAAACAGGGGAGGGACAGGGTCAGTGTTTGAAAGACTCTCTGAATTTGGTTGGACTCTTTTGCTAGGGCTGCTGTATCAAGAACCACAAACGGATGGCTAAGTAATAGAAATGTACTGCCTCACGGTTCTGGAGACTAGAAGTCTGGGATCAAGGTGTCAGCAGGGTTGGTTCATCCTGAGGGCTGTGAGGGAGAATCTGTTATCTGTTCTAGGCATCCTCCCTAGCTTCTGGTGGTTTGCTGGAGATCTTTTGTGTTCCTTGCTTATAGATCTCTGCTTTCATCTTCCCATGCTTCTGTGTGTGTGTGTGTATCCCAATTTCTTTTAATAAGGATGCCACCAGTCATATTGGGTTAAGGCCAATCACCTCATTTAACTTGATTACCTTTGTGAAGACCCTGTGTCCAAATACGGTCACATTCGGAGGCACTGGGAGTTAGGACTCCAGCACACCTTTTGGGGGGGGACACCATCCAACCTGTAACAACGGTGCTGGGGGAGTTCTTGAACGGGGCTGGTGTAGTGGCCCAGGCAGGAGAGGGGAAGGCTTGAGCTGGGGTAGGAGTCAAGGAGAGGGAGAGAGAGGCGACTTAGAGAACTAATAAGGAAGTGAGGTTTGAATCGAGTCTTAGATTAAGTAGGAACACGTCAAGCTGGAGGGAAGGGTACATTTAGGACTCTGTGTGGTGTTGGGCTTACTCAGGATTGGAGAGGTGTCTGGTTTGATGGGGACGCTGGGGAGGGGACTTGAATGCCAGGCTGAGGGCAGTGGGCTTGGAGCAGGGTCAGCTCCAGGTATTAAAGTATATTCCCCTGAAGCTGCACAAAGGCTGAACCTATGCATACCCTGTGGCCAGCTGTCCCAGTCCTCCCTACGGACCCAGCAGACGGACATACAAACACACACCTGATGACAGTTAACCTGATGACGTCCCTAGCAGTACTGTTTGGTGTTTTTTGTTTTTTTTTTTTTGGTTTGTTTGTGTGGCCTGTGGGATCTGAGTTCCCCAACCAGGGATCAAACTTGCGTCCCCTGCAGTGGGAGCGCAGAGTCTTAACCGCTGGACCACCAGGGAAGTCCCTGCAGCACTCTGTAATATGGTTTTATGTACGTGTTAATATAAACTTCCTTAATATACATGAACCAGACACTATGTATCTTTTACCAGGTAGCTTTTGCCTCCGCTTCATCCTTCGGCTCACCCCAGCCTCTCTTCTCTCCATGACCACTCCTCTCTCTTCTTTCGCCCCCCCTCCCCGCCGTGATTTCACGACTCCTCATGTCACTGTGTGTTCACAGGGTCTGACAGCAACGGTGGTGCTGTCAGAGCAAGCGCTCTCACCTGTGAGCACCCACTGCGTGCCAGGCCTGCTCTGGGGGCTTTACGCAGGGATATCTGGGAACTCTTTCAGCACCCCCCAAGCAGCAGGTATCCTGAGCCCTTTTTAACAGATGGATGCTGGGGTCCAAAGAGACTCAACCCTTTGCTCAAATGGAGTTGCATTTGAGCTTCTGCTCTTAGCTCCCCCGTCCCCGCCAGGAATACGTTGTTATTATTCTCCTTTTACCAGTGCAGAAACCTGAGGCTCAGAGAAGTTAAGTAACTTGCCCAAGGTCACAGAGCTGAGAAGTGGCAGGCTGGGATTCAAACCCAGGTCTTTCTGACGCAGGAGTAGAACATACTCCTTCACGCTTGGGCACACATCTCCTCTGATGACCTTAACTAAAGCGGCCACCTCCTGCCCTTATCTCCAGCTCCAGTTTGGTGTCCTTCAAGCACTTTATCACTAGGTGAAGTCATTTGTTTAGCAGTATTTTAGGGAGCACCCCCTCTGCCAGGGTCTGCTCAAGGCACCAGGGACAGAGGCACAAATCGTGGTCCTTTGGGGCTTCTGTTCTGGTGGGGGAGACGGAGAGTGAGAACACTGCATAGAGAGAGAGGCTATAGGCGATGGAAAAGTGGAGCTGAGAAGGGGTGGGGGACGCTCTGTCGTGGGAAGTGGGGGAGGAGGTCTGAGCAGGTAGCCTTTGAGTGCAGCCTTTGAGAGAGCTAGGCAGGCACCTGGGGGAGAGCACGTGGAAAGCCCCCAGGACAGGACGGTGTCAGGGGACTCAAGCGTGAGCTTGGAGGCCAGTGTGAGAGGCGTGGATGAGGGAGAGAAGCAAGAGAGGCAGTGAGGAGGGGGAAGGAGCAGATACAGCGGGCCCTGGGGGTCCCGGGATGGCCCTGGGCCAATCGCCCTCCAGCGGGGCCCCATTCACCAGGTGTTGAGCATGCGAAGTCCGGCTGACCTGTGTTTTCTCCCACCTCCCCGCAGGTGAACGAGCGGGTCCTGAACAGGCTCCATCAGGTACAGAGGATAACTCGGAGACTCCAGCAGGAGCGGAGGTAACCCCTTGCACACCTGCTCTGGGCCTGCATCGCTTGCCTCTGCTCCCCAACCCCTGTCACCACCACCTTGGGCCTCGGAAGAAAGCTGAGCCCTGGGCCTTGGGGGAGAGGTGTGCTCCCTTTGAATGGAGTGTAGCAGAATGCAGGAGACCAGACTTAGGGTCACAGACTCAGCTTCGAGCACCATTCTGCTGTGTGACTCAGGGCAAGCCACATCCCCTCTCTGAGCCCCAGTTCCCCATCAACTAAGGGTTAACACTGAGATCACAAGGCTGCTGAGGGTTGAATGGGAGCCCACAGGGGGCGAGCTCAGCTGAGCCTCCCGCCTCGGATCCCCCGCAACCGCGACTGCGACCCGGATGGGGAGTGAGCAGCTCTGGGGCCGGCCCGCCACTCCACTGGGTCCCCACCTCCGTGAAACGTGGAGAACAGGCCTTATGACAGTCTCCATGATGCCGAGACCCCCGGTCAGTCCTCAGCCCTCCACTTACCTGACCCAGTGGATACACCCTCTTCTTTGAAGCACTTTCTTGGCCAGGTCACTCATCTGCCTCAGTTTCCCCTCCTCCCGGCCATTGATTCTTGCCTCTTTGCTGGTTCATTCTCACTTCCCCAAACCCTGAACCTGCAGTAGCCAGGGCTCAGCTCCTGGGTCCTCCTCTTGTCCACACCTGTGCTGTCCAGGATGCTAGCTGCAGGTGGTGACTTTATTTTACATTGGAGTTGAATTTTAACATTCATTAAAATAAATTTCAATTCATTCAAATGAAACTGAAAATTCAGTTCCTCAGTGGTCACAGGCCAAGTTTATTAAGACAAAGTGAAATTGGAAATTCACTCCCTCAGTTGCACGAGCCTCATTTCATGTGCTTGGTAGCCACGTGGTTCAATTTTCATCTGAATTAACTAAAATCAAGCGAAATTTAAAATTTCCATTCCTCAGTCACTCTCGCCACGTGGCAGGCGCTCAAGGATGGTGACAGATGATCAGTGGCTTCCGTGGTGGACAGCACAGAGACGACACCTGATACCTACTTGTAGAATAAGAGACTGTGCGTGTGAAACGCTCCACCCAGGCGCTGGCTTACGGGGACCATCTAATCAGAGCTTAAAACAAACAAAAAACCAAAAAGCTTTTAGAAGCAGGAGTGGGGAAGAGAAGGCAGCATCACCAGTGAGAGTGCTCCGGGCCCGCCTCCCAGGGAGTAATGAAAATAATAACTCAGGTTTGACTGTTTACAAGCCAAGTACTGCAGAGCTGTCATCAAGCTGCAGTGTCGTGGTCAGCGGGCTGCCCAGTGGGGTTGTCACCTCTAGATTACAGAGCAGGAGCGGAGGTGCAGGTCACCTGGTCCTGCCCAGAGCCCCACTGGCTGCTCAAGTGCTTGCCACCCGGGTGTCTCAGACCTTCTGGGTCCAGGACAGCGCTGGCTTCAGAGTCAGAGCTGGGCTGTCGTGGGCCCCCTTCCCAACCGCCAGAAGATAAAGCTGCCCCCCCCGGCCGCTTCTCTCCGGCTGCAGGTTCCTCATGAGAGTGCTGGACTCCTACGGTGATGACTACCGCGCCAGCCAGTTCACCATCGTGCTGGAGGTGAGTGCGATGCGGTCATGGGTGGGCTGGGAGAAGCGGGAGCCCAGGACGCAGCCTTCACGCGCCCACCTCCCTGTCTGCCAGGACGAGGGCAGCCAGGGCACAGACGCCCCCACCCCAGGCAACGCCGAGAACGAGCCTCCAGAGAAAGAGGGGCTGTCCCCGCCTAGAAGGACGCCCGCACCCCCAGAACCTGGCAGCCCGGCCCCTGGCGAGGGGCCCAGCGGGCGGAAGAGGCGGCGAGCACCCCGGGACGGCCGCCGAGTGGGAGCTGCGCTGACTCCAGAACTGGCCCCAGTGCAGGTGGGGGCAGCCTGGAGTCCAGGGGTCCGCAGGGCGGGACTGGGGCTCCTGGGCTTCCCTGCTGCGCTGCGGCGGGGCGGGGCCGGGGCCGGGCCCTGCAAGGCGGGGAGAGCTGGAAGGCTTGGACAGGGCTGGCGTTGGCCGGGCAAGGAGAAAGCGTTGGAAGACGCCAGGCAAGGGCCTTGCGTGGAGAAGGAAGATGTGGAGGCGGCTCTGGGGAGAAGACATAAGCGGGGAGGGTCGGCGGCAGAGGAGGGGGAGAAGCCGGGGAAGGGCGGTGACACTGCAGGGGATGCCGGGACTTCTGGTGAGGTGCACAGAGGACGCCGTCTGGCCTGGGAAAGAACAGCGAGCCCGGGGCCCTTCTCACGCCTGTTCTCATCTCCCCCAGATTAAGGTCGAGGAAGACTTCGGCTTTGAAGCGGACGAGGCCCTAGACTCCAGCTGGGTTTCTCGGGGGCCGGACAAACTGCTGCCCTACCCGACCCTAGCCAGCCCCGCCTTTGACTGACCCCACCCCCACCCCAGTAAACCAACCCCTACACTCGCCTCGCCTCGGCCGCTGTCCACTGCTTCCACCTGCAGCCACACACACTCACGCTGGGTGTGGTTTTCACATTTTTATTGGGGGCCGTCAGGGAGGGGGCCTCTCCCTGTCGATGGAGGAGCTCACAGTTTCTTCAGCCACTCCAAGCTTGGGCCCTGGGGGTCCTGGGGGTGGCTGGGCACATCGGGCATGTTCCCATCGTCTCGGAGGGGCACTGTGGGACAGGAGGGTGGGCCACTGAGACGAGCAGATCGCTGGGGGCCCGCAGAGAAGGGCTGGCCTGTCAGCTTACTTTCAAAGAGGGAAACGGGACCCCGGGGAGAGATAAGAGAGAGTAAGGATCAGAAAATCAGAGATGCAGGGAAGTGGGGAAATAGAGACCTAGAGACATGGGAAACCAGAACGATGGATACAGAAAGGAGAACCAGAGAAAGACCCAACAGATACAAGGAAGCAGAACAGAGACCTGGAGAGGTGGAGACCCAGGAAGACAAAACTCCAGAAAGCAACAGAGATTGCGAACCCAGACAAGGACAGAAATCTGGAACCATGACAGAAACTCAAAGTGCAAAAACAGACAAAGCGAATTTTACGGCATGTGGATTATATCTGTTGAAGGAAAAAAAGAGAGTCCAGACTGCACTGCAGAATCTTGGATCCCTGCAGAGGAAAGACCTGCCCATCATCATTCCACCCCCAGCTCAGCAAGGTCCAAGGCTGCTGCCTTGGCTCCCACTCACCTGGGTAGTTGTAGGGTGTGGCCTCATTGATCATGATGGAGTACTTGGCATAGGGGCTGAGTGCAGGCAGAATTATAGCTGCGGAGAGACACAGGGGTGAGGCCCAGGGGAAGGAGGTGGCGGCGGGGACCGTAGCTGAGCCTTTTCAAGATGGGGGTCAAGTGCATGCGGGGAGGGGAGGAGGGGGGTCCAGCACCTCCAGGAGGCCCCTTGGCACCCTGGGAGCCCTGTACATCAGCAGAAGGGTTTATGACTTGTTTTTTTGGAAGTGAGGGTGGAAGCCAAGCATCCACAGACTTGTGGGATCTAGAAGACACAGGAAGGAAGAAAGGGTTGGTCACAGAATGAGCGCATTTGAGTCATGGAGCATACTAAGGGGTGTGGGTCGGGGGTGTCTTGGGAACGTTCCAGAGAAATCATGAACTGTTACAAACTGAGGAGAATGTTTTGTACAAAGAACAGTCATTGCGAAATTACAGTCCACCTGGGGTAGGAGCAGGGAGTCATGGCAGATGGGGCAGGGCACGTAAGGGAATATTCTGGGTCAGTGCTGTCCGACATAAATATAAGAGCCGCGTATGTAATTTTTCATTTCCTAATAGCCACATAAAAGTTAAAACATACAGGGATTCCCTGGTGGCGCAGTGGTTAAGAATCCGCCTGCCAATGCAGGGGACACGGGTTCGAGCCCTGGTCCGGGAAGACCCCACATGCTGCGGAGCAACTAAGCCCGTGCGCCACAACTACTGAGCCTGCGCTCTAGAGCCTGCGAGCCACAACTACTGAGCCCTTGTGCCGTAACTACTGAAGCCCGCGTGCCTGGAGCCCGTGCTCTGCAACAAGAGAAGCCACCACAGTGAGAAGCCGGCGCACCACAACAAAGAGTAGACCCCGCTCGCCGCAACTAGAGAAGAGCTGCGTGCAGCAACAAAGACCCAAGGCAACCAAAAGTAAATAAATAAAATAAATAAATTTATAAAAAATATTAAAACATACAAATTAAAAAATAAATTTAACCTGGTATACCCAAGGCATTTCAACATATCCTCGGCATAAAAGACATTGATATTTTATATACTCTTTGTTAAACAAAGTCTTTGAAATCTGGTGTATGCTTTACATCAGGGTAACATGTACCATCTCAATTCATACTGGCCCCATTTCAAGTGCTCAGTGGCCCATGCGACCCGTGGCTGCCGTGTGGGACAACTGTGTTCTAGAACCTCACTCAGTGTGTGGCCTGCCAACCAGCAGTATTGACAAGACCTGGGAACGTATTAGAAATGCAGCATCCCCAGACCCACCCCAGACCTACGGAAACAGAACCTGTATTTCACCAAGACCCACAGCATCACCTTGAAATCTGAGTAGCCCAGTTCTACAGCTGAGGTTCTCAATTGCAGAAGCACACTAGAATCACTGGGGGTTTTTCACAAGACACAAGGTTCCCTAGCCCCACCTCCACCCCACCCAATTCAATTCAGAATCTGGGGGTGGGGGATGAGGGTGAAAGGGGAGGATAAGGACATTACTTTTCATTTATTATTATTTTTTTTAGCTATTATAATGCACAGCTAGGGTTGACAACCTCTTCTTTGAAGGGATTCCGGACCTCTTGGGTGGGTGTGAACGGGGTGGGGAGCGATGGGGTGGTGGAGGAGTCATAATACTAGGGGTGGGGGTGTTGGCATACAAGTGGGGATACGGAACGTTGAGGGCGGCGCTCGGGCCTCGGGGGTAGAGGATGGAACGATGGTGGGGGGGTCGATGGAGCACTGGTGGGGGGCAGTGGGACCTCTAGGGGGTGGAGGAGATAAAGCCGGGACGCCGACTGGGGGTGATGTACTTTCGCGCCTGGGGCACTCACGCACCGAGACCCCCGATGGTGAAGGATGCCACTAGCACCGGCTCCTTGGCCCAGACATTCTTGAGAAAGGCGGCGATTCCTGGAAGGGTGGGCGAGGAGGGTCACCCCTGCAGGTGATGCCCCCAGTGACCTCTACCCCTCTCGCGCCACCCCCGCCCTGGAGGAGCCCCTCGTGACCTCTGCGTTCCCCTCCGGCCCGGACCCCACCGCCTCCACGGGGGCTCCGTCTTGCCCTACCCCTGGCACCACCCGGGGTTCACGGTACCATCCCCGCGCGCTGACGGGCCCCGCACTTACTCCCGGCCATCTTGGTCTCGGCAACTACGGCGGCGGCTGCGGCGGCGAGGGCCCGGAGCACTCTGGGAGTTGTGGTCCCTGGGCACGGCTTCCACAGTCGGAGTCCGCGCGTGCCCATTGGCGCAGAACAGCAATCCCAGGCGGGGGCGGGGGTGCGGAGCACTCTGGGAGTTGTGGTCCTGGCCCGCTAGCCTCCGCGGGCTGAATCCGCGCGTGCGCACTGACGCAGAACAGCGGCCCTAGACGACCGCTGCGGGGAGAAGAGGCGGTGCTGCAGATTTAAGCGCAAACCTGTCTTGGCGCACCTGCCGCCGCTCTCTTTTTTTCCCTCCGCCTAGAAAGTCGTTCCGGAGGAGTAACTTTCAGTCCTACTACTGCGGCCCAGCTAAGGCGTAATGCATCAGTCCTCATTTTATAGTTTACTTATGAGAGCCCATTTTACAGATGGACAAACGGAGGCTGGGAGAGGACGAATCACCAATTTGAGGTATCAGCTTAAAATCAGTTCGTCCTGCAAGCCCTAAGTCTCATCCCAGAAGGGTTAGGGGCCTTCTGTATACTCTCACAGTGCCCTATGTGACCTCCATTATAGCGTACATCATTTTGTTTTGTTTTGTTTTGTTTCGTTTTAACTAACCTGGTCGGAATCTGCCTTTCCATCAGGCTGGGAGCTACTTGAGCACAGTTATGGGGTCTGACTCCCTTCTGTGCCCCTTTCCCCCAACCGTGTAGCACAGGGTCTGCCACATAATAGGTACTAATTTTTTTTTTTAAGTTTAATGAACACAACAGTTATGACTGCGCCCTCTCCCAACTTTTTCCACAGCACCATGGGGCTGTGACACGACGATTACCCAGGGGCCCCCACCTCGCTCCTTCCTTGCCTAAATAGGGCTCTGGCTTCCTGATGTTGCCTCATTTCCTGGTAGGGGAGAGGGCACCGCCGAGCCCTGGCTCCTGTTCCTGCTCCAGCCTAGAACTGCCCACCATGGCCCTGGTGATGAATCTGCAGCTGCTGACTCTCTGTGAGACACCCCACCCCCTTCTCCCTGGGCAGGTGCAGGGTGATCAGGAGGCACGAGCTGAGAGTTTGGAATTCTAGGCCAGAATAACAGGACTGGGGCTCAGACCCCTGGGTCCTAAGGCAAGAGGACCCAGGGGTCCTGAATTCCTGGGTTCCTGGAGGAGGAGGAAGTTGGGGGCAGGATTCTCTAGATCTTGAAGCAGGAGAGGACTAGGGATCTGAATTCCTGGAGACAGAGAACCTACAGTCCTAGATCTTGATGTGGGAGGGAGATGGAGAAGCCAACACACCTGGGAAAGAAGGAAACTGGGGGCCCAGACTCCTGCAGCCCAGAGAGGAGAAACTGTGGGCAGGCTGTGTTGCTTCTGGAGTCTAGCAGAGAATCCAATTCCCTGTCTTTTCCAGATTCTAGAGGGGCCTGCATCCCTTGGCTTGGGTCCAGACTTTTGGGCTCTTAAATAAGTGGGGACTTGAAGTCTCAATTTATGGCTACTGAGGAGGAAGTATGGGCAAGATTTCTGTTTCCCAGAGGAGAGAGGGCCTGGGGACTTAGATTCCTGGATGCCAAATGAGGTGGGGCTGGGAGCAACCGAAGGCTTTGACAAGACCAAGCCCCTTCGACCTTCTATAGGGCTGGTGTGTCATGCAGACATCACTCCAACTGGTGAGTAACACTCCTCACCCATTCTCCTGTGTGTTGCTGACGCCCCATTTCCAACTACTCAGATTTTATTTTGGTGCCCCCCTCCCCCCAGATTTCCTTACTTCCCTCCCCCTTCCTTTATTTCTTTCCCTCCTCCTTTCCTCATTCATTTTAGTGACCAGTATAGGTAAGTAGTGAAGATCATGAACTTTGGGGTTAAAGAGACCTAAGCTGGAACCCCAGTTTCACCATCGTATTCATTTATGACCTTGAACAAACCACTGAATGCTGAGACTCAGTTTATTTCTCTGTAAAATGGGCTGTTGTGAGGATTTAATAAAATCACATGCATAAAACCCTTGGCTCAGAGCTTGGCAAAGTGCAGGGCTCAAGAAATAGGATCTCTGGCAATGCCTATTATTCCCCTTTGGAAAGTAGGGTCCTCCACCCTGAGACAGCCCTGGGTTTCTTTCCAGGGTTTCTGATGGGTGAGACCTCTTCTTCCTCTCAATTTCCCTCCATTACACTCCAACTTCAAATAAGAATCACCTGGGGCTTCCCTGCTGGCGCAGTGGTTGAGAGTCCGCCTGCCGGTGCAGGGGACGTGGGTTTGTGTCCCGGTCCGGGAGGATCCCACATGCCGCAGAGCAGCTGGGCCCGTAAGCCATGGCCACTGAGCCTGCAGGTCCAGAGCCTGTGCTCCGTAACGGGAGAGGCCACAACAGTCAGAGGCCCGTGTACCGCAAAAAAAAAAGAATCACCTGGAGAACCATTAATACCTTAGCTATCAGTTTATTTTAATTATTTTTTAAGTGTTAAAGCTAACATATATTCATGGTTTTAAAAATTATTATCAAGGGACATATAACAACCTCCTTCTTCCCCTTCCTCATCTTCCTTAAATAATCTCTGAATCCTTATAAAAAATCTCCACGCTTTCAAACACACGTATGTTTTTTTTTTTTTTTTTTTTTTTTTTTTTTTTTTTTG